GGAAGTCAATCTTGCAAGCTGAAGCAGGGAACTGCTAAGGCAGCTGCACCCTGGTGCGACCATCACAAAGCAAGAGACCTGAGAACTCACCACCCATTTATCCCTCCGCCTTTCAATTAGCCCCACATGTATTTATTGGCCAGGTTGGCACAATTAACTCAGGGGGTTTGAGGCTGTAATCATTGCAGCAATGTGACCTGTGACCCTTTGCACCAACCCTGCTGGCCTGAGTCATCACAACTGCACCTGAGCCCGCTGTTGCAGCCAGCCTGAGGGGCTTGCCTTTCTGCAGCCCCTCTACCTCACCAGGTTACATGTTGCCCATGAGTGTAGCAACTGCCTTTGCAGTCTCCTCGCATTGCTCCTGCCCCACGGCAGCATGTCACCATGGGAAAACACGGCTACAGACCCACCCCAGTGCAGTAAAGGGCACAACACCTGAGAAGTTGCTAAATTGTGGCTAAGATAGCTACCACAGGCTCAACAGCCCTCCTTGTGAAGGCAGGCCCCGCCTCATTCTCTAGGGTGGTTACAGGAGCCAATCCTGCTTGGTCTACCAGCTGTCCTGCTCTCTATGCCCGGCAGAGGTTCTGAATGTGCAGAATCCCTTCCAGGAAAACGGCAGCTCACCACCAAGAGGCACAGGCTACCTCCTCCCAGGGCACCAACCCTTGTCCCCACCCAATCCCAAGCAGACACACAGTTGACAGGAACAATAAAGTTTATTGAACCATGGCTTAGTACAGGCGCTGGGGTTTGCCCATGGTGCTCTTAATGTACAAAGCACGGACATTCTGCCAGTTCTTCTTCAGCAGTGAGACCAGAAAGTTGACAGCCAAGTGGATGTTGTACACAAGTTCATCGTCTGTCATCTTCACGTGGCCAACTGCCACGGCCAGACACAGCACCTGGGGGAGGAGGGAGCAGGGAGGGTCAAGTCAGGGCTTGTGCCCACGCTGAACACCCCCGACACTTCTGAGGCCTGAACGAGGCCAACCCCGGAGCAGCAGGCTGTTAGTGAACAGGCTCCCTCCTGCTTAGCTCTGGACTGCTTTACCTCTCCAAGATGAGTGCGGAGCCCCCCAGCCCCACTTTAATCCCACCTTGCCAACATCAAAGACTTCCTACCTTCTTCATCTGGAACTTGATGGTGGACTTCACCTCGTCAACCTTGGCCACCATGTTCTCATTGTGGGTCAGCAGGGAAGGGAATTTGCCAGCCTTATTCAGGCCTGGGCCCAGAATTCGAGGAATCTGCTTGATCAGGGACTCTGAGGCCAAAAAGGCATCATACTTCTTGGCTGATAAAGAAAGGATGCCAGTCGGTCACAGGATACTCACATACACTGGCCAGTGTACTGCCCCCAAGCCTTCCCAACAGCACCACAGGGGGAGCGAGCACACCCCATCAGCACACCCTCCCCATCATCGGCGTGCAGCTTCCACCGCTGACTAGCTTCACCGTCTGGTCTCTGCATGGTCCACATTCACAGGAAACCCCAGAAGACCAGGCTGCCTGGGGTCAGACTCAAGCTCCACACTTCCTACCTGTTCGGTCACCTCTGCTCACTATCAAGAACCACTGGGCTCCCTGACCTGTAAACGACCCCCAATGCAAAATCAAGCCTGCCAATAACCACAGCTAAGACGCCCGCTGCAGGAGCCACCCCCTAGACACTGCCCGCCTCCAGCTGCACTCACCCAGCTTTTTGACCAGCTTCTTATTCTTGTTGAGCTTCTTGAGCGCCTCGATGTCCATGTGAGGGATATCCACGGCCTTCGCTTCATCGCAGTGCTGCTGGTCCCCAAGGACACACACGGAGAACTTGGGGCGCGGGGTGGACTTAAGCCTGCGTTGTAGGGTACAGAAGAGGTCACTGCCAGGCCTGGGCCGCAAAGGCGGGTGAAGGATCTGGGGCTACAGCCAAGGAGAGCCTTACCCAGAGAGTACACATCACCAACAACTAGTCTGGCTTCTCAAACTAGCCGGCGGGGTCGGCCGAGGCCTCCCCACGCCTCCCCTCACGTTTTAAGACCCAGGGTGGGGGTCCGCTCAGCCACGCCTGCCCGGAGCAGGGGGTCCGAGCTACCCTGGCACGTCAGTACCGCGGTGCCTGCCTGCCTGGCTCAGCGGGAGCCTGAAGGGAGGCGCGCAGGCACGGGGGCACCGAGGGCTGGGTGAGATGAGAGCGGTGCCAACCTGACGGTGCCCGAGAAGCGTTTGTCCTTCTGAGGGTCGTAGTTCTTCAGGCTGATCTGCAGCTCCACCGTCTCCAAAAACCTGGGGGAAGGGCACAGACGGTTACAAACGCCCGGTTTTCCCGAACCACGTCGGGCCTGGCCGTCCCCGGGGAGGTGCACTTACTTCCGGCGTTTGCGCTGGTTCCCGTGCAGAACTTCCCGCACCGCCTCGTAGAGGGTGTCGCGAGAGACTTTGCTACTGCGGGAGCAAGGGCAGACAGACGCTCAGGGCCGGGGAGCCGTGGGTTCTACTCCCTCAGCTTGTCTCCTGGTTTCGAGACCGGGGGACACGCCACAGGACGGGCCCCAGGTGGGGCGCTTTGGGCCCGACAGCCAGACCCATGCACGGCCCACGGAGGGTCGCATCTGGCGCGGAAGCCGCAGGTTAAACCGCCCCACAGGGATGCCGAATAAAGGCCCCCAGATCCCGTCCGTAAGAACCGCATTCCCTGTGGGGTGCTAGGAGGTGCGGATGGCGGCAGATGGGGCTCTAAAGGGCACCAACCTCATGACTTCTAGCGCTGCAGCAACCGGAAAAGAGAGTAGCGAGGTTTGCGCATGCGCTCAAATAGGAGCCCTGCTCTCGCGAGAAGTTCCTCGTTCCTCTGGCCTACCAGCGCCCTGCAGGGCCGCGCGGTCCAGAGGGGCGACACCGCCGGCTACCACTGGAGGGCGATGCCGCGTGCTGCAACGCTGTTAAACCTAGGATGCTGTCATTTCGGGTGCCCAGTGTACCCTGAGAACATCCCATGCGTGCCAGCTGCCCTTAGGTTTTGGAAAAGGGCTGGTTCCAGGATTCAGTATTAATAGGCACATGTATATTACATCCTTAAAGGTACAATATCTTATGGTGGCTGAGAGCATTTAATTAGGCTACATTTGTCTTTCCCACTTCCTGAATCCTCTGTCTTAACAGATTATCTGGTCCACAGGCTCTATTTCTGGCTCAGGCCAACCTCCCTCACCATCTTGCTTTAATGGGCTCATGTCTTCCAAGTAGGTTTTTGTAAGGGAGGTGGCAAGTTCTGTTGTTGACCCTCAACCCCCTGCAGTGGACGGAGCTAGGAAATAAACTTACCTGATCGTTGATTCATTCACATGCGCCTACCAAGCGTTTACTATGAACAAAGTACCCAGCTAGATGAGGATACGCTTGTAAAGAAGATGTCCACACGCAATACTGCACACATGATCTTTTCCGTCTTTCCCTGTTCAGCGGCCCCCATCCTCTCCTCTCCTCGGCACACAGTCACAAGAGGACTCCTTCAGATCCCTCCCCAAATGGTGACTGCCTGAGAGCTTCCCCAAATCCACTGAGACACCCCCACATTTGAGTCTCCCATCCCCATTCCCAATAAGCAGCGCTAACAAGGCTGGGGTTATACCTCCGATGGTATGGTGGCTCCACGTGTTGGGCTGCTAACCACAAGGTCAGCAGTTCAAAACCACCAGCTGGTAACAAGGAGAAGGATGAGGACTTCTGCGCCCATAAAGTATTACAGTCTTGGAAACCCACAGGGGCAGTTCTCTTTGGTCCAATACGGTCATTGTGACTTGGCATCAACCAGATGGCACTGAGTGCGGCGATTTTGAGTCCCCAAGCCTGAGTTGAGTAGCATCACAGACCACCTGGCTCACAAAACCTGAATGAGCTACTTAGCCAGCCTGTACGGAACATAGTTTCCACCACCTTCCCCCCCCCAGAATATTTTACCAGGAAAATCTGCCCCTTGTCATCGAGCAGAGGCTGGAGTGTTGCCAGCAAACACCCAAAGGTAATGAGAAGACAGACATTGCCTGTAATAGGGCACATTATTGAACTTGCCGGTTTTTTGTGTTGTTGTTTTTTTAATTAAAAACCTTTGACAAATTATTCAGGTCAGATAAAAAATTTAAAATATAGATGTAAATGGTCATGACACACATTTAATCGCAAGAGCTTTGTGTAGAGCGCACAGGCCTTCTGGATTCCCGGAGCATCCCACAACTACTCTGGGTCTGCTGGGACCCGTCGGGGCCTCGGGGAGAGTCTCTGTTCCTGAGGCCAGAGGTAGCAGCGAAGACACGGGCAGCAGGGCCAGCAGCCCAAACAAGGACAGCTCGTCCTGCCCCTGCAACCTGCAAAGCCCAGACTGGGTCTGGCGCCTGGGAAAGCAGGGCGCTGAGCCCCGGGATGGCCAGCCTCAGCCAGGAAGTAGGGCAAGTTCATCCAGACAGAGAGGCCTTCAACGGTCTGCTGCCGAGTGGTCCCTGGGCAGAGGTCAGGCCAGGTGTCTTAGGGCGGCCTGTAGGGACTTCCTCAGGAAAGTTGAGTTGAGTCCTGCAGCAGTAGCCAGGCCCCGCCTCTGGGCCTCAGTGATCTGGGGAGAGGGCAGAATCGGGTCAGGACTCCAGAGGCCCCTCCCTGTCCTCCCCACTCTGCCCGTGGTCTCTGACTGGGAAGGAGAGAGGAAGCCAGATGCTGGGAGGAGAAGACTGCTCTTGAGGAATCCCATCTACCTCGTAATTTCACAGGCTTCAGGCAGAACCCTGGTGGTGTTGGGCTGCTACTCACAAGGTCGGCAGTTCAAAACCACCAGGCATTCCACCAGAGAAAGAGGAGGCTTTCTGCTCCCATAAAGGATTGAAGTCTCGGCAACCCACAGGGGCAGTTCTATGGCCACTATGAGTGGGCACTGAGTCAATGGCAGGGAGTGAATTTGAGAGCCTTACCCCCAGCCACACTAATTACTCCTGGATCCCGGACGGCACGGCTTATACCATCTCCTTTGCCTAGAATGCCCTCCCCCATCTTCAGCCCTTGACACCCAACTCTCTCCCAACTATCTCTCCCAACTGCCACTCATACAAGGCTTAGGTGCCCTCCTCACCTCCCAGCCGGCCCCAGCAGACCTGACAGTGATCTGCTGCTTGTATCTTTCCCCACTGCTCACTGGCTCTGGGTGGGGGGAGATCGCAGCTTGAGGACAGGGACTTCGCTGGCTGCTGTTGACCCCCCCCCCCCTCCCCAAGGCCTCTTTGAGCTTCTGGGCCATCAGAGTGATGGCTGGGTGAAGGGCCTGTGGGCGGCTCCATCCCTCCGGCCCAGGCCTGAAGCTGTGGGCAGGCGGGGCTCTGCGGGGGCCCACCCTCACTCACGCTGGCCTGGTACTTGGTCATCACCGTCAGCATGAGCTTGGCATAGGCCATGGATGTGGTGGCCGCCGGTCCAGCTTCACAGAGCTTCTCCACAAAGACGCTGAACTTCTCGGGGGTCAGCTCCACCTACCCGCGTTGGGGAGCCAGAGGGGCATCACAAGGCAGGCCTGGGCTCACCCATGCAGCCAGCCCTGGCCTCACTTCTCAGCTGGGTGACCTGGGGAAGACTGCTTCGCCAAGGCCACTCGGGTCCCCATGGGTGAAGCAAGGCACGTTTACCAGGCTGCGAGGGCTGTGACAGGGTGACACGGAGCCCATACACTCGAGGGTGGCGCCCAGCGATAGAGGAGCGAGAGCCCCAAGCGCTTCCGAATAACGGCAACCAATTAATAACCACGATACAGGCTGCGGGGAGAGCGGTGGGAACGCTAACCGCAGCAAGGCGGGCAGTTCAAAACCAGCAGCCACTCCACGGGAGAGAGATGAGGCTATTTGCTCCCATAAAGAGTGAGCCTTGGAAACCCTATGGTGGGTCGCTACGGGCTGGAAGGGACGCAGAGGCAGTGGGTCTGGTTTGGGGTCTGCAACAGGCGCCGTCCGGAGCACTTTATGCCAATCATCTCACTTAAAGGGCACCACGGTCTCGTGTGGTATCGCTACGTCCCCTCACCAATGAGGAAACTGAACATCAACAAGATATAAGCAAAAGAGGCAGGTCCACGGGAAAACCACCAATACGTATTCCGTTTAAAAGGCACGGTGGGGAGAGGCAACAGTGAGTGCGAGAAAGAAAGAAGAAAATGCTCTAAAATTGCTTGTGGTGGTGATTGCACAGGTTTCCTGGATGGGATTAACCGATGCAATCATACACCAAGCGGATCATGTGCCAATAAAACTGTTTAAAATAAAACATAGGGTGTGATTGGCACGTTATCATTCCTATCAAAAGTAGGGGCCGAGCACATCAATCCCCTCCTTCTCCTTGACCTCCCCAGGCCGAGTGCCAGCAGCCGGCCCTGGGCAGGGGAATCTGGACGGCTGGGGGACAGACGGCATGTTTTCTTCTTACTCTCTGTCCTTTTGAGCTTTAAGATCATGAGCCACATGGAACTCTTACCGCTTCAAAAATCAAACATTTACATAAGCTCTAAAACTCGCTGTCACGGACTTGCTTGACTCACAGCAACCCGATCCGGGCAGTTGAGATGGGGAGGCCCTGTGGGTTCCTGAGACTAACTCTTTATGGGCATAAACAGCCCCACCAGGAGTGGCTGGTGGCTTTGAATTCGGACCTTGTGGTTAGCAGTAGCCACTACACCACTGGTGCTTTGAAGAAGCCCATCAAACTGTCCCTCCCCTGAGACTACCCAGTGTGGCGGAGGTGAGCTGGGCTCTACAGAGCAGTCGAGCCTCAGCGACAGGCCCTTCAAGCCCGCGCACTGTCGTGGGTACCCTGCTGCCCGGCAGCTGTCCCGAGCCCCTCCACAGCCAGCACTGCCCTGTCCACTCCTCTCGCTCACCTGCTGCTCCAGGAGGGACTGCAGCACCAGGAACATCTCCTCCTTCCAGGGCAGCTCCAAGATCTGGCTGCAGAGCAGAGGGCTGGTGAGGAAAGCGGCGTATCCCCCACCCCCTAGCCTGGCACCCCTGGCTTCTACCCAGGGACAGCCAAGCTGCAGGGCCAACAGCAGACGTGGTCAGGGCCGCCTTCTCAGTAGCCACTGTACAGAGCTTACCGTCAGTGCTGGGAAGGTCCCAAAACCTCCCGAGACCCCCAGGAGCTGAGAGCGAAGGGCTGGATATTGCTACAAAGCCCCCTGGAAAATACTGAGTCCAAAGGTAGGGGAGAGCACCTGATGTAGTGAGGGACCACACAGGCCACCTGAAGCCGGCAAGCCTCCCTGGAGCCCCGCCCACCAAGACACCCACCCCACAAGCACAGTCTTGCCCTTGTCTGAAAAGGCAGCAGCATCCCACCGTGGGAACAGTGAGACTTCTTGGGTGGACAGACGTGGGCTGGATTCCAGGCTCCGTCACTCGAGGCCAGGGTGACCTCTGGCCCAGTCCCTTAACCCCGCCTCTGCAATTCACTTCTCCTGTTTATAGGGTGGCGGCAGCTCCTACCTAGCCGACCCCCTTTGTAACACAGACAGGTAAGGGGTCACAGGCAGCTGTCTCCTCTCGAGTTCTCCTCGGATTTTCTATTCCATGCCCGTGTCCCCTGGGGGATGTAAAGGGTTTGCTCGTCGCTTCCTGCGTATCTTGATGTCCCAATCTGAATACCGACGCTGACACACGTCGTGGTTGGGCCCGGATGCGGAACGCAGTCCACGTTCTTGTTGTGAGGGCCATCACCGGCTTTATGTACGGCAGATGAGCCACGGCGGCAGCCGCTGGGCCCATCGATCCGGTCGAAGGGCTTCCTCTTCCTCGCTGCCGCTCCACTTTACCAAGCACCATGTCCCTCTGCAGGGGCTGGCCTCTCCTGACAGCGTGTCCAGGGGCACGAGATGTGGTCTCGCCGCCCTCAGAAGGTGCCAAGCAATACGCTCAACCCTTCACAGGCCAATCAACACGCTCAACCCTTCACGTGCGCTGGTGCACTTGCTCTCCAGAAAAGCCCGCTGGTGCACAGGATCTGCACACGGGAACACGGAGGCTCGGAGAGATGGAATCGCCTGCTTGAGTTCACACACAATCACACAAGAGAGGCAAGGAGGAGAGCCGAAGCCAGCATCCGTCACCACTGCCGTGTGCAGCTGCCCTGTTGGCTGCTCAGAGCAGGGCTGACCAATGGTGTCTCTGTGTTCCCCGAGGTGCCTGGCACAGAGCCCATACCCCCACCTAGCAGGGCAGAATTAGAGAAGGCCGCAGCCCTGGGCTTAGAAGCTGCCCGGAATGGCAGGTGGCATGAGCCCACAGGGGGAAGGCACAGCCGGGTCCAGGCAACAGAGAGGGGGTTTGGCTGAGCCGTTGCCCATCTTTGAGGCACAGGAGCAGGTGCCCACTCGGCACCAACCCTGGGTACCAGGAGCAGGGCTGAGCTGGGGGAAGAGGTAGTGGGGCAAGGCAGCCTAGGGGGTCAATCACTCACCCCAGCATTAGCCCCTGCGTGTCCGGCTCCACTGCCTTCACAAGGCAGCACAGCAGCTCCAGTTGAGCTGAACCTGGATGGGGGCAGCAAAGGGGAGAAGTCGGGGCAGGGGGCAGGGAAATGGCTTCGGGAGGAGAGGGGCATGCCCATTCCATCCCTGGAGCATCACCAGGAAGCCGCAGGCATATTTATCTACTGATGTCCTTCTCCTGCTGTGTCCCTTCGGTGAGGGGCACTGGGGCCAGGACAGCATGGGCCGTGATCAGTCTGGGGGGCTGGCTGCAGAATTACCTGGGCCGGGGGCCTGGAGCACGGGGACCAGGAGGGCTCTGCAGACAGAGTAGGCGTACTTGGCACAGAAGGAGGTCAGGGCGGCCGTGAGCAGGCGGGAGGCCGAGGATGTCAGGGACAGGATCTACATCAAGGGCAGGGGACAATCAGTCCGAGAACTTTTCCCTCCTGACGATGCTCACATACACTGTACAGAGACAGAGAGAAACCAGTTCTTCTATCTAAGTTCTTCTATCCCATATGGACCTCCCGTAGCTCCCCAATCCCTGAAAGCCTGTCAATCAGCTTCCAGGTCTAGCAAGTTGCTAGGAGCCAGTCAGGGGGACTCCCCAGGATCCCCATCCTACCAGGCTACCCAGCCTGAGAGCAGTCTCTGCCCCCGACTCCCTGGTGGTCCCAGGGTCTCCTGATACACCTACCCGCCCAAGAAAGAGGCTCCTGGCCAGCACGGTGGCGGTGCTAATGCTGAGGTCTGGTGACAGGGCCAACAGCCAGGAGCAGAGCTGCAGGAGGCCCGTGTCCGGGAGCTGGGGGAGCTGCAGCTGGGCACACAGCAGGTCTACCTGCCAGAGGGAAAGTGGGGCCCCTGGGTAAGGCAAGTGGGGGAAGGGAATCAGGGGAATCAGGGGCTCCAGGAAACCACTCAGGGTGACCCCAGCCCCTGAGGGGCAGGGAAGAAATAACCAACTGCCCCCCTTTCCAAAAGCCCCACCCGAGGCATGTAAACAAATGGAAAGGGGCCTCAGGCCCGGCGTGCGCTCTGAACTCACCTGTCTGGGGCTGCATTCCTGGAGAAGCTGCAGCTCAGCTGGCAGGGCACCCTGGAACCCCTGGGAAGGCAAATCCTAAGTTAGGGCTGCCAGAGCCCTGTGCTGGGCACAGGAGGTTGTTTGGGTCCCCCAAAGAGCCTACCAGAGGGGGGCACCTGGCCTGGCATCAGGTGGCCTATCTATACTTGAGCCAAGAAAAGCCCCAGCAGTGACTGCCCTCAGACCGGTCAGGCCTCCAAGCACTGGGCTTCCCTGGGCATGGCAGGGGTCCCTGGCAGAAGCCTGCGGAAGGGCTAGGGTAGGCAAGGTAGCATATGCTCACCTCCCCAGAGGTCTTCAGCAGCTGCTGCAGCCTAGGAAGCTGGTCCTGTGGAAGAGAGTTCAGTCTCTGCCGGGCCTGACTCCCGCAGCAGGGCCCCAAGCCCAGGCCCGCTCTCTTTCCAAGGAGACCCCAGACCAGTGAGAGACGATTCAAGGAGCCAAAGACACAAAGTCTGTTGAGGAGGAGGCGTCAAAAAGTTTGAGAAGCCTGGTGGCATAGCGGTTATACACTGGACTGCTAACCACTAGGTCAGCAGTTCAAACCCACGGGTCGCTCTGCCGGAAAAAGATGAGGCTTTCTGCTCCCGTAGAGTGTCGGTCTCAGAAACCCACAGGATTCTGCCTTGTCCTCTGGGGTGGCCATGAGTAGGCATCCACTCGATGGCAATGAGTTTGGTTGGTGTGGTGTTTTACTTTTTTTTTTGGTCAAAGTTTGTGGGAAAGTGGATTTTTTTCCATGGCTTTTTGATGCCCTCTCTTACGGTGACAAGGATTTAAGAACCCACAGTAGACAACGCCTGTGTGTGCCCTCAAGTGTCAGAACTCATGGGATCCACTCTGCATCCAAGCCTACTGGGGCACACCCAGGCCCAGGAGGGAAGGCTGGCGGGATGCTGACATGACCACCCCCTGCCAGGAGAGGGCGCCAGAGCCTCAGATCATTAGGACAGGTGGGCTTCCCACCAGCAGTAAACTACCAGATTCCCTCAACAACCTTTTGGGAAACACTGTCCCTACCAGCCTTCAAGCCCTCCCCTAACAAAACAAAAAAAAAACCCAAAACCCAAAATCAGAATCTCTTCTGATTCATTCCTGCTCCTGTAGGGCAAGATCGGTCTTGAAAGAAATACAACCTTCATGGTCCTTCGAGGCAAGGATGCTGGGACTTGGTCTCACATCCTTTGGACATGCTGTCAGGAGAGACCAGTCTCTGGAGGGCAGCGTGCTGGTAAAGGGGAGCAGCCGTGCAGAGGAAGACCCTTGGCAAGATGGACTGAAACAGCGGCTGCCACATGGGCTCAAACACGACCACAGCTGTGAGGCTGAGGCGAACCAGGGCAGTGTTCCCTTCTGTCACACACACACAGGCAGGGGCTGATACCCAGGGCTCAAGTAGAAAGAAAGTGCTTTGAAAGTGATGATGGCAGCGTACGTACAAATGTGCTTGACACACCAGATGGCTGGATGGATTGTGCTAAGAGCTGTACGAGCCCCCAAATAAAATGATTTTTATAAGAAAAGACAGGATTCAACTCACCCTGTGGGTTTCAGAGACTGTAACTCTTTACAGGAGTAGAAAGCCTCTTTTCCCCTGCAGAGCAGCTGGGGAGTTCAAACTGACCTTGTGGTTAGCAGCCCGGCGGGAATCCACTATGCCACCAGGGCTCCAGCCCGGCACCCAACTCCCAACTCCGAAGGCTGCTCCAAGCCCCACCTCCACCCCAGTACCTGGACAGCTTTGGGCAGCTCCAGGGTCTCCACCAGATCCTTCGAGCCCTCCGGCTTCGGAGGCGCCTCTCTGGGCTCAGCACCCACTGCAGGCTGGCTCAGGACTGGTGATGCGTCTCCTCCACAGGCGGCGGATTCCAGGGGCTCCTCCTCCTGAGCGTCCTCATCCCTTTCCAACCACCGGAACTTTTTGGAGGCCCGCTCGCCCTCAGGACTGGCGGGCTCCTCCGCGGCCTCCTTCTTGCGTTTCCCAAGCTGCTGGGAGTCGGCGTCTTCTTCCTTCTCTTCCTTGCCTTCTCCGGCATCTGGAACCTGGGGCAACTTCAGCCCCTTGCCCCCTCGACCCAGTTGCGCACACAGGCCTCGGAGCTGTCTCTGGCACGTTTCCGACAGTGGGGAGACTTCCTCAGCGCAGAGTCCCACCCCCAGATCCCTTTGCAACAAAACCACCAGGGCTCGTAGCCAGGGGTCGGCGCCTGGGTCCTGCCGGACAATCTGCAGCACAGGGAGGAGCGCGCTCTGGGGCAGCGATGGCCGCACAGCCATCAGCAGGGCCAGCAGGTTTCTCTGGCACAGCAGAGGCAAGTGCTGCAGCAGCGGCTTCCTGTGGGGCAGAGCGGAGGGGGCAAGCAGTTGGCGGCATGTTAAAAGGCAGTGGGGTAGCGCTGCGGGGTGGAAGGCAGTGGACAGACCCGGCGCTGAGAGGAAGTACAGCAAGTCTGTGTGGTCAAATAAAGTAGAATAAGGGAAACCAACAAATATTGACTACTATAAATTGGGGAGTGGGGAATCAGTGTGGACAGAAAGGGGGGCAGTATGGGAATCCTTCAACAAGTATTCCTTAAACAGCCTGCTCAAAATGTCCCTGCTACCTCTATTTCAGCTCCAAAATTCATATGGGAACCTACTCACCCATAGATTCATGTTTGGTCGACGTAAACCAAGATGATGCTTTTTGTATATTTCCCTAAGTACACATTCAGTGCCTGGGTACAACATATATGCACACACAGCTGTGGGCTCAGTTGGAGGCGTGTCTAATTGTTTCCAGGATGAATGTATGAGATCCAAACCATCTCACTCCACTGGCAAGGCTTGTCTGAGGTCTCGGGAGCTGCCGGGACTCGGGCCCTTCTCAGAGGGTGCCTGCGTGGAACGGCTCCTAGGGTCAGGACTCCCCCAGGTGCTCCCCCAGAGGGGAATAATTTAACTTTTCTGTGCCTCAGTTAGAGAGCCTTGGTGGTGTAGTGGTTACACGTTAGGCTAACTGCCTGGTCAGCAGGTCGAAACCGCCAGCCACTCCACAGGAGAATGACAAGGCTTTCTACTGCCCTAGAGTGACAGTCTCAGAAACCCACTGGGCAGTCCTACTCTGTCCTCTAGGCTCGCTGGGAGTCGGCATCGACCGGGCAATGAGTCTGAGTCTGAGTCTCAGGGTCCTCGGCTGTAAAAGGAAAGTTGCCCAGCCGGGCCTCACAGGATGCCGCAGCGAGCAGGGCAGGAGTGCCACGGGCGGAGACTTACAGCTTCAGGCGGCAGTCGGGCCCCTCCACCACCGGCTCCTCCTGGCACAGCGCCCCGAGGAAGGGACCCCAGGCGAAGGGCTCCCCGCGTCTGCTAGCCAGTGTCTGTAGCACCCGGAGGCCGCCCCGCGTCCCCTCGGGCCCCGCCTGCAGCGCCTGGAGCAGGAGGCGCGCGGGGCCCTCCAGCTGCGCCCAGGGAGCGGGATCCGCGTCCTCAGCCGCACGGGTCGCCATGGCCGGGGCACCGGGGCCGCGCCGCGCCTTGGTTTTGCGCCTAGGCTCCGAGTCTGGGGGACAGCGCCCCAGCGCCCCGCTCGCGCCCGGCGCAAGCCCTGCACAGCGCCGGGAAAGGCGCCCGCACAGGCGGACCAAGGCTCGCGGAGCCTGACGGCGCACGCGCCGCCGGAAGGGGCGGGGTGGGCGGGGCCGAGGGCGGGGCTTGGCGCTGAGAGCAGGCCGGAAGGGGCAAGTCCAGTAAGGAACACTCCTCCTAATGGGCGGGGCCCACGGCCCAGGCGGAGCCAGACCGGGGCGGGGCTAGCCAAAAATGGGTGTTTGTGGGCGGGGCCTGGCTAAAGCCGGAGGAGAGGCGGGCGGCGTGGGAGCCAATCCTCAGCGTCTTCCTTTCTTCCGTCTCTGAAATATCGGATTAGAATGGGTGTCTGTTATATGGACCTTCTTTTCCTTCAGGACCAAAGCTGCATTTAATTTTAACTGGCGCCCTTGTTGCTTGTTGATGGGCATCGTTAAATCCCAACCCTAACTTCACCTGGTTCAAAAAATGGCCCCATTTAGACTTCAGACCTCTCCAGAAAGATGCGTTCAGTGTGCAAATATCCCTGAGAGTGGGGTCGCTATAAAACCTAACGCCACCGATAGGGCCAAAGACTCACTCCTGTGAACCTCCCCCCCAAGACTAAGCTGTCTCGCGCTGGCAGTTTCTAGGAGCCCGGGAGCGGCCCTGCACTCCTCTTTCAGTGTAAGGAGACCCGCTGGCGGCGGCAGGCTTCCAAACCCACTGCCACGGCGTCAGTTCCGACTCCTAGCAACCCTACGGAGGGAGTTTGGAAAAAAGAGGGAGGGGGAAAAGAACCTCAAAACTCCCCACCTCGCCTGCCACACACTCATTCAATAAAGGCTTTGTTCTAGGGGCAGGGTGAGGACCACAAAGGGGCCTGCCTGCCTGCCTGCCTGCTGCTGATGGGAAATCTAATATTTGACTGTGACAAGTGGTTTCAAGAACAATACTGTATCGCAAGGTCCAACCATTGTGGAAAAGTGTTCTGGTCCCTTTAAAACACTACAGTAATAATAGAAGTACCATATGACCCAGCAATGCCCCTAGGTATAGAACAAAAAACCCTAAAGGCACAGAATCAGCTCCTTGTACATGTGTTCAGTGCAGCATATTCACCATAGGCAAGAGACATACCACTTAAACCACCCTCCACAGAAGGATGGGTAAGCAGAAGGTGGCACATGTATACAGTGGAATCCCACTGTGCACACGAAGCCCTAATGTGTGCTACAATATGGGTGGAACTTGAAGGCACATGCTGAGTGAAATCAGTCAACCATAAGAGCACGAATACCACTTGAATAAAAAGACAAGACCAAAGAGCAAGCAAATGCTTAGAGACTCACGTTTATTAGTGGTTACCAAGGGTGGCAGGGAGGGAGGGCTGTAGCTTGTGGACTATTGCAGTGACCACAAGGGGAAAATCAGGTTGACTGAGGGTAGGGTTGCGCAACCAGTTAATGTAATTACTGTCGATAAAGTGTACACCTGAAGTGGTTGGCAGTTCGAAACCACCAGCAGCTCCTCGAGAGAAAGACTGGACTTTTGAGTCCCATAAACAGTTAGTCTGGGAAACCCCCAGTGGGTCACTATGAGTCAGCATTGACTGGATGGCAGTGAGTTTGTAAAAAGTTGAACGGCAAATTTGGTGTGACAGAAATATTTACAAGGATGAGAGAGAGAGAGAAGGTGCTGTTCACACAACCAAACACCTCATGGGACTTGGACCCGGGGTTTGGTGGATTCCGCTTAAAGGTGGTTTCCTAAGGACATGTTTAATGTTTCTGATCTACCTCCTAGTTGAATGGTGTCTGGGGTCTTGAAAGCTTGCAAGCAGCCAATCAAGGTGCAACCACTGGTCTTCATTTGCCTGGGACAAGAGGAGTCACAGTCAAGAGTTCCTGTGCTAGAAGATCAAAACAGGGGAGTGTCTAGCTCCCATTGCTGCCCATTTTAGGAACGGATTCTGCAGAAGAATTGGGATCAAAGGGAAGAAAATGCAGAACAGCATTTCAAACTCTCATGGAGTCCAGACTTTCTGGAGCCAGGTAGGCTGGATGGACCTTATTATCCTAGGAAAATGTTTAAACTAAAACGATCCCAATAGCCTCATAAAAACACATACTAGTTTAGCTAACTTGTAAAAGAAGGTCTTCCTTGAGCACTGTACTTTTTTTTGAGGCACAGTCTGGTAAACAGTGGACTGATAATAATCCTAACATCAGTGATTCAAACCCACCAGCTTCTCTGTGAGACAAAGATGAGACTGTCTACTCCCATAAACATTTACAGCCTCAGAAACCCTATATGGGGTTGCTATGAGTCGGAATTGACTTGATGGTAATGGGGTTTGGATCTCTGAGATTAAAGTGACAGCAGCAATTTGGAAGTAAGTTTAGAGGGCAGGGAAGCCACTGCTGGCGAGTTGGTTCTGACTCATAGTGACCCCACGGGGCAAACCATAAGGTTTCCAAGGCTATAATCTTGATGGAAGCAGAAAGCCTCATCTTGCTTCCAGGGAATAGCTGGTGGGTTCAAACTGCCGACTTTCTGTTCACAGCCACTGCATCGCCAGACCTCCTCCAAGGGGACAGTGAGTTTTGTTAACAGAGGCGGAACAGCTGGAAGAAGGAGCGAGGGAATGCACCAAAGGACTGTCCTCATTGTCCCCGAGCCACACCTGTAGAAACTGGAATCAGTGTAGTTTGCTGGGTTTATTCTCAACAACAATTAATTTTATAAAGAAGACTGCAAGTAGGGAAGGGGGAATAGGGTGATTTGGGATAGAACATTCTGGAAAGATAAGCCTGAGGGAGAATCAATCGGGCCCATAACTGGGGCAGACCTTTCCAGGGAAGGGAAACAGTAGGTTCAAAGGTCCCGGGGCTGAATCAGCTTGATGGAAAGTAATAGGAGGGAAAATCAGAAGTAAGGGGGACAACTTATTCATGCCAGACCTGCAGGCCAGGGGAGGACTTGGCTTTCACTCTAGATAGTAAGGCACCTTGGAGATACTTTGAGCTTGATCTGATTGTCATTTGAGTCAAATTTTTCATTTTTTCTTAAAAGGCTTCAAGTTGTTACTGCTCCCTGGGAGATGTCCGTGTTAGGGAATACTTCTCAGACACAGCAAAGGTCCAAATCGCAGGAAAGAAGTTCCTTCCCAGAACCTTCTCTCCCAGGTCAGCAGTTCTGACGTCAGAGGGAGGACCGTCCTAAGACAAGGTCTGTCTGGCTCTCTCCCCTCTCTTCTCCGCCCCTGCTCTCTCCTCTCTTTGCCTGATTCAAGGACTCTGGTAGATCAAGTGCCCTTCACGGGATCGGGGTGGTCATTACTTTTCCCCCATAACACTAAGATGCTATGGGATCCACAGGCTTCGTGACATGTCTGCAACAGACTGAACACAGGAACTGTCTTACTGCCCTCATCCGGGGTGGGGACAGGGTTTGTGGGCCCACTAGGAACTCTTCAGACACCCCTGGAAATGGCTTACTTGCATTTTATTAGTTTCCTTTTAGAATCCTTCTACGAAGAAGCAAAGTTAAAAATCAGAGAGAGAGAGAAACGAACACTCCCTCCATCCTCTGGGGAACACTCCATGCCTCTCCAAGTTTCCCAGCCTCGTCACTGTTGCACCCCCATTCTCACCCCCACCACCGCCACCCCCACCACCACCCACCACCACCATGACCACCCAGGGAAAGACCCAACCACCAATCAAACTCTGCCCCCTTCATCCCAGCAAGTTGATCCTGGTTCTAGGCGGCCACGGTCAAAACTGCTGGCATCCAGGAGGAGCTCCAGGAGAAGGGGAGAAGAGGGGAGGCCCCAGAGACCATGGGCAGGGCCAGTCTGTGAAGACCACATTGTCTTCCGGCTCAGGGTGCCGGAGGAACACGGCTGGACTCAGCACCTGGGTGTGGAGAGAAAAGCCAGTGGAAACCCATCAGCTCCAAGCCTGGCTGTCCCAGAAACAGGGGACCTCAAGGGCCATAAGTACGACTAGGCAGGTTGTGCACTGCTCAAAGGTGCTACATGTAAGCCCGCACCGTTAACATTATACACAGTATTGACATTTCTCACAGGCGTGCTAAGCCATGGCTGGCAGCCTCCCCTGCCCCGGCCCCACCCCACCCCCCACCCCCGCCATAATCACCTCACTCCCAGAGGGCAGCAGTACACTCTCAGGCCAGGTAGGACCAGAAATCAAGGCCTTCTGTAAGGGGGCCTGGTGCTGGTAGATGCAGTCAGACTTGAAGGGACAGTGGCCATTCCCCTGCCAGAAGAACCGGCATCGGATCTGGCTAGGAGAGGGAAGAGGAGGAGGAGATCATGGCTCTTATGTCTTGTTACCCAGGAACTGTGTGGCCTCACAGTTGACATGGAAGTTGGGGGAAGTTGTCCACTGCACAAAGGCAGCACAGCTAAACAGGCATTATAAACAGCAGGGATTTTACATTTATTATAATCATTGGGTTCGCATTCGGCTGCTAACCGCAAGATCAGTTCAAGACCACCAGCCGCTCTGTGGGAGGAAGAAGAGGCTTTCTACTCCTGTAAAGAGTTACAGACTCTCAGAAAATCACAGGGGCAGGTCGGCCCTGTCCTGCAGGAGTCACCATCGACTGGACGGCAGTGAGTTTGGTTTGGTTACAGTGTCCATCCAGTAGATGGTAGTAGAGAGTCCTTGGTGGATGGCAAACCCCAAACGGAACTCCCTGCCCGCCAGTCAGCACAGACTCAGGGTCAAAGCCCGTTTGCGTTTGCAAGACTAATTTTTACAAGAGTAGAAAGCCCAGTCTTTCTCCCCTGGAGTAGCTAGTGGTTTCGAACTGTGGACCTTGAGGATCGCAGCCCAACTCGTAACCCCTATGCCACCAGGAGCCTTTACGGCAATGGATCTCAACCTTCCTAATGCCTTGTGTTGTGGTGACCGCCCCCCCCAACCATAAAATTATTTCGTTGCCATTCATAACTAATTTTGCTACTGTTATAAATTGTCATATAGATATCTGCTGTGCAGGATGTATTTTCATTGTTACAAATTGAACTTCATTAAAGCATAGTGATTAATCACAAAAATACGTAATTATATATTGTGAAATATTTGTTTCTAATGACAAATCAATGAAATGTCTTGAAGCATGGTGTAGCATGGGTCACAGTCTGTACGCCAGGTACTCGTGGGCGTCTCTGCATGTGGGTGGACCCGCCTGGAGAAGGATAGAGGAGCGGTGTCCGGTAGCTACGACCAGCAGAAATATGTGTTTTCGAATAGTCTTAGGCGACGCATGAAAGGGTCGTTCAAGGGGTCGCGACCCACAGGTTGAGAGCCACTGCTTTACGGGATAAATCGTAAAAAAAATATTCCCAGTGAGTCAATTCTGCCTAACCACGGCACCACCCGGGCTCCTTCCTTCAAGGCAAAACCTCTGATTGTCTAAGTTTCCCTTACGGTGAACAGTGGTCCTGGGAACCTCCATTCTCGTTTCCCACCCCTACCCCCCATTCTCTTCCCCTCACCTAAGGGGCAGTCACACCACCAACATAGCGCCAGATCGCCACACAGACAGGGTGGCTCTGGGACCAGGCTCCAGCAGGGTGCCGCTCTGGGATCTGGGCGTTTGCGGGCTAAAGTGGGGATGACTGGACTACTGGATGGGACAAATTGTGACTTATACGCCAATAAACTCGTTGTTTAAAAAATAGCACGGGGGCTTTAGTTGAGACATTTCCCAATTCTGAGATTTCCAGTCTCCCTTTGTGAAAGGACAGACAGAGGCGGGCTTCGTGGGTAACTTGTGGTCTGCGTGGCATAGGGCTTACGCGTGGGGCTGCTAATTGCAAGGTCAGCAGTTCAAAAACATCAGCTGATCCTTGAGAGACGGGGCTTTCTGCTCCCGTAGTCTCAGTCTGGGAAGCGCACAGGGCAGTTCCACCCTGTCCTACAGGGTCACTAAGATCGGCATCACTCAGTGGCAGTGAGTTTAAGTTGAGGGGTGGGGTGTGAGCTGCTGAAGAAGCACATGCTTCCTTCCTATGGAGAACAGGTGAGGAAGCACAGAAAGAGCAGAGCAGGGGTCTGGAGACTTTTTCCTGCATTGTCTCTTTGGGGTTAGCCTCAGCGTCTGCGCAGGACCCCCCCCCTCCCCCAGTGATTACCAGGAGCCTGGGAATCCCCCAACATAGCTGCCCCCTCTGTACCTCACAAGATACAGCCTCCCTCCGCCACCACCCCTCCCCACAGCCCACTGGTCTACAAAACCCCACTCAGCCTGCCCAGTGCCCACCCCACACACACCGCTAACTGCTACCAGCCCCAGCATGTGCCACGGCCACCTCCGCTAGAAACGCCCGTCATGGGACACCCTCTCAACCACATGCTCAGTCAGTCACCCTGATGGGACCTTCGTCTCTTCCACGCTCCCCTCCATTCCTTCTGGAGTGAGCTGGGCGCCAGTCCCACCCCCACCCCCGCCCAGTGCTATAACCACTGCACCACCAGAGCGTCTTATGGCACTAAGCTAGAGGGCGGGGGCTATGGGAGGGCAGGCTTTGTACAACATCCTAGCAGGGAAACAGGGCCCTGCTGCTGCAGTCTCAGCCGCTCACCCTGCTCACCCCGAGTTGGGGCGCACTCTGAAATCCCGAAGACAGCCCAGCCTGCACCCCACCAGCTGTCTCCAGCACTGCAGGGTTTGGGGTCTTCTGGACTGGGAGCCACGTCTGAGCCCCCTCAGCCAGGCCCCCGCCTCACCTTGTCCGAGCCTTGAACCTCTGGATGAGCTGCGCCTTCTTGGGGCCCTTGCCGACCCAGGTTTTGTTAGGGATGATGAAGCTGGAGCGCACGCGGCACTGGGGGCAGGACCTGCGTGGTGGTGGTGGTGGGGCGGGGCCGAAGGTGGGAGGAAAAGGGTCAGGAGTTACAGCGGGGGGAGGGGGGACCCGGCCCTGTCTTCCCACCTCCCTGCCCCCCATCCCTGCCACACTGACTTGATGATGTCCATCGGGAAGTCCGGCCGCTTCCTGCGCCAGGTGCGCAGGCAGCCCAGGCAGTAGGGGTGGGGGCAGTTGGGCAGGATGCCGAAGACCCCCTCAGTCTGGGGCTTGTCCCACACCTTTTCTATGCAGATGCCACACACCACGTTCCGACTGTCCTCCTCCTCCTCCTCCTCCTCCTCCTCCTCCTGCAGCCACCACGGGGTCAGGTCATGGCCTTTCCCAAGGAGACTCCCAAAGAGCGCCTCCCCTCCTCCAGCATCCCTGAGATGAGATTCAGACACAACACATCACCCCCTGCCTCCCTCCCCCACCTACACCCCTACTAACTGCTGCACCTCAAGGTTCAGGCTCTGAAGCAGAGCGATCTCCCCCGCAAGGTCTGACTGGGACGGAGCCGCCTGGGAGTAGCTGTAATCTCTGACGACCGCTGTGGAGAGAAAACCAGATCTGAGTCCCACACACTCCTTCAGGTAAGCCTCCACTGAGGACCTACTGTGTGCAAGGCTTGTAGTGGTACAAAGTCCTGCCCCTAAGTAACTCAGTGTCCACTCCGGATTGGGGAGCACCTGCGTGATGCAAACTGTGGGTGCTTAGCTGCTAGCAGGGGTTGGAGGTTTGAACCCACCCAGAGGCACCTCTGGAAGAAAGACCCAGCAATGGACATCAAGATGATGGGCCAGGGAAACCTGACCCACATGGGACTGGTCATCAGGAGTCTGCGTGGACGCCACGGCCACAGGCATGTGTTTCTATGGGCGTTTCTGATTTAGAGCCCTAGCTGACCTCCGACCTTGTTGCAGTGTGAACTGTGTGACAAGAAGGAGCCCTGGGGGGGGCGGGCAGTGGGTTGCGGGGGGTGGGGGGGAGGCTGCTAACTTCATAGTTGGTGGTTCAAACCCCATCTCCACCCCCCACCCCCGCCACTCCTGGAAGAAAGAAGAGGCGGTCGGATCCCATAGAGAGTCACGATCACCGAAACCTTTGCAGGAACAGCTCTATGCTGTCATACGGGCTCCACATGGGTCGGAATCGGCTCACTAGCACTGGGTTTCGACGCCGAATGCTGGGCTAAGCACTTTACACCGACGAACCCATCCTGACTCCCAAGCACCCTGTGAGAGGCAGGGATACCCTTTCCTGAGGTGTGTCCACCCTCACACAGCTACAAGTGGTGGAGCGGGGTGTGCACCGTGGCCGATGGACTCTACCCTGGCCATCTCCTTCTAGAACAGACAGCCCAAAGACCAGAGGAACAGCTCACTGCTGAGGGGCACTGGGAAGGCAGTCTGGGCAGACTGGGGACTGCTCAGAGGCAGAGCGAGGACTCTGGTCCTGGTGCCCCTGTCCACTCACCTGAAGGAAACAGGGATGTCCAGGAACTGCCGCCAACCTCCTCTGCCTTGTTGGTTGGCGGGTCCAGGCTAGGCTGGGTGCCCCTCCAGGACCCGGCCACGTTCCAGGCCACAGCCGCGGAGGGCAGGTAGACGGGCTCAGAACACCTGCGGGCCAGCCCCAGGCGGGGCTCCAGCACGGCCAGCTGTGGCTCTGAGCCATAGTGATTCCAGCCCAGAGGGTAGGGGGGCTGCTGCGGGTGCTGATATCTGTAGGGGGAATAGGAGGGAAGGAGACAGGGACAGCCCCTCAGGACCAGGAGCTAGCCCTGCCTGGGGTCTGAAGTTGAGTGGGAAGAAGAGAAGTTTCTTTCGGGACCCCTCCCTCCCCTCCAAGTCAGGCTGGGCGCAGAGGTGCTTACCTGCAACGATCCCCGTAGAAGCAGAAGCCTTGATGGAAGAACCTGCAGACCTGGGTCACCTTCATATCATAAGCAAAGTGGTAGCTTGAACCCCAAGGACAGGGCCCAAAGCTGTAATTCCTAAGAGATGACTTGAGTCATACCAAGCCTCCATTTCAATTGCGTTCTCTTTGTGAGCCTCACGTACCAGGGCTGGCTTCGGGGAGAGACCCAGGCAGTCACGCCGCGTCCCCGGTCTGCTTTAATGCTCCCCTGTGACCGTCTTGAAATCCCTGGTAATTTTCAACCAGGGGCTCTGCATTTTGTCTCGCACTCTGTCCTGTGGGAGGTGGTCTAGGAGCGGTTGGTGGGTTTGAACTGCTGACCTTTTGGTTAGCAGCCCAACTCGTAACCACTATGCCATCAGGGCTCCAACTGCAGGGGTTGGACTGAGGATGAATTCTAGCCTCCCAGGAACCTAGACTAGTCCAGTCCAACCCTGGCGTGGATGCCCTACCTCTTTCCCACAGCACAGCCTGGGCAGGACCTGGCAGAGAGGTGGGTGGGGAGTGATGACAGAGGGTCTTGGGGGGGTAAAGGTGCCAGATGGTACTTTTTTTTTTTCCAACGTAAAACATCAAACAAAAACCACCAGCACTCCCTCGCCTGGGTGCTGCTACAAGGACTGACATGACAGACCTCAAGGGGGCAAGGCGGCCGGCAGGTGGGCACCTACTTTGGACAGGAGGACCGTGTGGGTGTGGCGGCCAGGACTGTGCTCACTAGTAAAGAAGGCAGGGAGAGTAGAGGTGCAGGCTTCTCCATGAAAAGGATGGGTGAAGTTCTGGGTGACCCCTAAGGGATTATCCTGTCAGCCCTGATTCCCCAGAGAAGGAGCCTGAGGCCCTCCGAGAAAAGGGGCTACCTAATTCTCAGGCTTCCAGCCCAAGGAGGGGGGGGGGCATGTGCTCTGAAAGTGTGGCCTTCCTCAGATGACCTGAGGAGGCCAGCTTCCCAGAGAGGCCGCCACACTAGCTCTTCCGGAGAGGGAGCGGTCCAGAGACAGCACTCCACAGGGGCTTCTGGCCCTGTACTTGAGCCATCGAACAAGGGCCAGGCTTTGTTACCAGGTGTTTGAGGAAAATGCAAAACCCACTGCTGTCCGTGCAGTCAGTTCTGACCCACGGGGACCCTGTAGACAGAGTCGCAGTGCCCCCTCTGGGTTTCTGAGGCTGAGTCCTGGAGGAGCAGTGGGTTACAAGTCAGGCTGCTGACTGCACGTCAGGAGTTTGAACCCAACAGGTGTCCCGTGGGAGAGAGATGAGGCTCTCTGCTCCCATAAAGATTTATAGCCCAGGAAACCCACAGGGGCAGTTCTACTCTGGTTTTTTGTTTGTTTGTCTGTTTTTTCTGTTTTGCCAATCGTTTTATTGAGATATAATTCACATATCATATACTTCCACAGTTCAGTTATATTTTAAGAGTTGCGTATACACCATCACAATAAATCAGTTCTAGTGCATCCTCCCCCATCCTGTATTGTGTGTGTGTGTGTGTGTGTGTGTGTGTGTGTTTTAAATCATTTTATTGGGGGCTCATACAACTTTTATCACAATCCATCCATCCATTGTGTCAAGCACATGTGTACATTTGTTGCCATCATCATTCTCAAAACATTTGCTTTCTACTTGAGCCCTTGGTATCTGCCGACAAAATAATCATTTATAAATGATCAAGGGTTCATGAGAGAGGGGGTGGTGGGGAGGGAGGGGGAAATGAGGAGCTGACACCAAGGGCTCTACTCTGTTCTTGAGGGCTACAATGGGTTGGAATGGACTCATTGGCAGTGTGTTCAGTCTGGATACATCTTTACAGGAGCAGAGGGCTTCATCTGCCTACCAAGGAGCGGTGGTTGGGTTGGAACCGATGACCTCATGGTTAGCAGTAAAGGACTAACCCACAGCCACCAGCACTGCTTGTGTTTGAGCAAAGGGCCTCTGTAATTTAAAACTAAATAAATTTGCTACGGTTAAGCAAATTAAACAGGTTTCTTTCATCTGTCCATGTACAATCCACCTGAGACAACACCACTAAGAAAGACGAGAAGGGATTCTCAAATCAATTTGATCACAAAGCTACCTACCAACGTACAATCAAACTTGTCGATGAAAAAATCACAGCATGAGGAAGTGCCAAGTTAGCTCCTTTGAGCCTCAAAATAAAATGTAGTTAGCTCATTTTTCCCTTCAAAAACAGGGGCTCAGAGAGAGTGAGGCTCACAGCGAGCGCTAGGCCTCGCACCCAGGTGTCCTCTCTCATCCCAGACTCCTCTCCTTAGCCAGGATCAACTCGTCAGGGCTAAGGGCTGCTGGGGGGCAGGAAATTTCTCAGGCCAAGGTCTGAGGCAAAGTGGGGGGTGGAGGGGATACAGGAGACAGTCGGAGGTCACAGGTGATACAGGCCTGGAGCTTCAGAAAAGGGGGTTCGGTGCCTGGGGTCCAGGAAAGGGCTGGAGCCGTGGGCCCCTGAGCAGTGAGCCTGGGGCATCAAGACTGGAGGAAGGGTGCCAGTTGGAAGTGGGGACCCACGGGGTCTGATGGAGCTGAGGTTCTGGTCAGGATGGGGAGGTGAACCCTGCCAAAGGAACCCTCAGGGTGGGGGTGGGAGGGTGTTCAATCCGAGAGCTTAACCGGGCCTAGGCTGCCTCTTTCCTGGCCCGGTCCAACACTCACTCGGCTGAAAATCTCTTCTCCTTGAATGTCCATCCTTTTGCCTACCTTTTTCTCCCTGGCTGCCTTTCTTCCCAGGCTGGGAAAACCACTTCATACTGGAACCCCAAGACCCCAGTTATCCCTTGTTTAGCCAAACTTCACCCCCCCTCTGGAGAACAGACCAGATCCTGCGCTCAGGGAGCTCTGGTGTTTGGGGCAGAGAACCCTTCGCTGGGGTAAGAGAGCAAAAGCCAGCAGGGAATCATTGCGCTAAATGATCAGGCCTGAGCTAATGTGGAATCAGCTGCGTGGCGTGGCCGCGGTTCCTTGCCTCCCGCCCCTGGTTTCAGCCTCCTTCTATGCATCATGAAGGGGTCCTGGCGGGTCGTGGTTAATGTGCTTGGCGCCAAACCAAAGGATGGCGGTTTGAACCCACCGTGGAAGAAACCTGTGGCCTTCGCTGCTGTAGAGTCACAGCTTGGAGACCGACGGCGCGGTGCCCTGAGTGGCAGAGCTGCTCTGAGTTGGAATTGACTAAGAGCAGCGGGCTTGGTTGGGGGGTTGGTGTGGATAATGAGGGGTGGAAGATGGTCTCTAGCCACTACCGTCCTTGGAGGAGGGGGTAAGCAAGCCCCTTCTCAGCACTATACCCTCAAACTTGACCGACTTCACTTTCAAAGGCCATGCTGAACAGCAAAGCGTTCTTTTCTCCCCTGCGGCCCTGTCACCCACCTGTATGACCGCTGGGAGTGGGCGCTGCTCGCCCTGCTCTGCCTCTGGCCAGTGCTGTCTGGCCCCGCTCGCTCCATCCCAGGGACAGCCACTAGTGAGAACCAGGTGGGCGGCTCCTGATCCTCTTTTATCCCGCCCTCTCAGAGAAGACCCAATGGGAGCAGGGGCTCTGCCGCCAGGCCCGCCCCTTCCCGTGGCCCCAGACCTGAGTGGAGGGATGGAGGGGGCGCGCTGGATGGC